ATAAATAAGGGGTCTGGTCTACCTCAATGATCCCAAATCATTGCACCTACAAATACCCCTTCCAGGTATCTGTCTCTCAACAGTGTTTATGCTACAAAAGACAGTCTAGCAAGCAGAACTTATTAATAATTCATTTTCTCTTTTTCTTCAAAGTCTTACACAATTGCCAATCAGTGCTTCTGATGGGCTACGATAACCAGCGTTGACACACTGAATTGATATCATCCCAACCAAAAGCAAAGAAATGTCACATTTCAGTCATTTCATGTGGCCTTGCTTCGGAGCCACGTACATTTCATTTGCTTCTGTGAAATACTGAAACAAGTTTGCAGACTGCTATTTCAACCTTCAGAGTCTCCCAGAGGATAAGAATTCCCATGATAGGAACAAGATGTCTTGTTCATCAAAACAGAATCATTTTTTATTAATAGTTTTAGAATTTGATTTGCTTCTGGAACAGTGAGTAGAAATCAGGGGTTGAATTTCAAACTGCTCAACAGAGCCCTTCACAGTCACCCCTTAGTTTTTTATGGAAAGAGAATCCATTCACACAAGTCAGACAAGAACCCGCACGTGGAGCTCCAAAAGGAACAGACATGAGCCCTAAGGCTCAGGGTGGGCCGCTTAGTTCTGATTATTTGGCATTCAGTTTATTACCACTCACTCTGTGCCTCCTTTACAAACACTTTCTCCCAATAATACTTGCTGATACATCAACTGCATTATTTATATAGCATCTTGGGCTCATGTCTGATGTCAACTCTGGTCATTGAGACCCCACATTAAGGCCTGAATGTCCTCTCAAATCAAATGGTAGAGTCCTAATACTCATTACCTCAGAATGTGACAATATTTGGAGAGAGGGTCTTTCAAGATGTAATTGAATTAAAATGAGGTCATGAGTGTGGATGCCAATCCAATATGACTCGTATGCTTATTAGAAGAGGAAATGAAGACACAGACATAAACAGAGGGAAGACCATGTGAAGATGCAAGGAGACAGTGTCTACACATCTAGGAGAGGGGCCCAGAAGGAACCATTTGGTTTACACTTCGATCTCAGACTTCCAACCTCCAACCCCCAAGATATTCCAGTTCTGTCACTTAAGCAACCCAGTTTGTGGGACTCTATTCTGGCAGCCCTAGCAGATTAATGTACCCTAGGAAGCTAAAAACAGTTGAACATGACATTCATTTATAAAATCATATAAACTGGGGCCAACAGGTGGCATGGTGGTGAAAGGCACTGGGTTCCCACATGGCCAACCGAGGTTCGAGGCACGAACCTGGCAGCTTGCTTTCTCCCTTTCCCTTTCTCTCTCTCTCTGTCTCTCTCTGGTCAAACCGAAAAATAAAAGTAACAAATGAAATTATATAAATAATTCTTCACAAAAACCCCCATATAAACCAATAGTCCAGCGTCCTTAGTCAATGTGGATGCCTGCCTGGTGTAAGTTGAAGAACAGGACACGTGGTATAATCTGCAAGGCAGAAGAGAAATTTCTACTGTTAAGTATGTTTTCATTTGGGTGTACGAATTAAACTATAGCCATTCCTGAGATGTGAAAATTAAACTACAACCATCCCTGAAGGAGACGATATTACTCTCATTATTATCAGCAGCTTAATGGAATTTTGTTGAAATAGTGAGCTCTTTTACCAACATCTGGCTGAGATCAAACAGGCTGTAAGGAATGGGATGGGAGTTTTGATGGAGTAAAACAGTGCAGAGAGAAGGAGAAAGACAGGTTTGGAGTATGCAGAAAAATGGGCAGGGAAGGCGCAGAAAAATCGTGTCCCCAAGGAAAAGGAAGTGCAGGAAGACTGTGGGAAGCTGTTCCCTCCCAGAAGCAAATGTCCTACAAGACTGGGCCTGGCAGGCTTGGAAATTTTATGTGCTACTGATCTGAGACAGCCACAGGAGGGTCCAGCCTGCATCAGAGATGTTCTTTCTCTCTTGGGAAGCAGGGAAGGGCCTGTGCGTCTCCCACAGAAAAAGCCTCAGGTACCATCTTCCTTTCACCTCCTTCCTCACTAAGGTAAACAGTGTTCTAAGCATGACCCTGTAGCACAATCTCCATATGGATTACATTTTCTTTAAAGAAGCACTTCAGACAGAAAAGGTTTCCTTTTTCTATTTGTGTAAGTTGTGCAGTGAAAACTACAGACTATAATTTCTCTCTCTCTGACACCCAGAATGCCCAGGGCAGGCATGGCCGTGATTGCTGTGTCCCTCGCTGCTCAGTTTCACAGCTCATCTCTGTTACTGCAGCCCACAAACCCTGTGGACTCACAGCTGACACTCTACCCTCTTCCAGCCATCCTTTCAACCCCACCCGGCAAAGCGTTGGGTCTTCTTTTGTGCATTGAAGGAAACAAAGATGGAGACATTCAATGACTTGCGCAAGGCCACACTTAACTAGGGACATGCCTAGACATCTTCCTGATACTAATAGAAACGAGCCAACATCATACAATAAAATCTTCATGGGGATAACATGTTATGGCATATAATTAAAAATTAGTGACAGCTTGCAACATTCAAGCATATTTGCATCCGAGCATCTATAATGATTACATGAAAGTTAAGAATAAAATGTCATTTGAAGGTGGCAGATATACTTAATATTTTCAGAATAGCTTTACCGGTATTTTATTTCTTCCTAAGATTATAATCATTCCAGTCCCCCTTTTGTCAATATTGTCTCCCCTCCCCCACCCCCAGAGTTTGAAAACACATTCTATCTATCGACTACCGCTTTTTGCCAACCGAGATCAAAGAATAGATCCCCTCTCCCTCGGGCAAAGGCAGCAGCATGGCTTCCAGCACTTGGCAATGAATGACTAAAACAGAAGTTTGAGTTCTCTCTACCTGTGATTTCAGGCAGACAAATGACTGCTCTGTGAAGTGTTCGGGCTCTTTAGATCATATTGTTAATAATTTGTCAGCCTACCTCATGGGACAGTTCTAAGAAATAACTGTGTAACTATAAATAATTTGAGCAACAACAAATGTTTTTAATTAAAAGGCAATTTCTTCTCTTTGAAGTCTTTAAAAGTTCCACTACAAAGCCAAGATACTCAAGATAATTTTGTTGGGTGAACACCTATGACCCTGTCCAGGCCACTTTGGCAATGTCTCCAGTAGACAGAAAGCACTTTGTGGGGCAGAGTTCCTGAGTTAGTAACATATTGCCTGGGCCAGGTTCATATAAGGGTCTCATATTTCTCCAAATAAATGAAGCCAGGACTATGAGTAACTGCCAATGTATGCCTGGAGCTAGATCTTGCCTGAGGAGCTTACAGGATAGCTGGCCCCCCCATCTTACATATGAGAAGAAAGAATATCAGGGAACACGAGGTATGTTCCAGTCATGCAGCTGGTTATAGGCAAATCCAGAATGGAAGCCCCTGTTTCCTGACAAAATCTCAGTGCTCCTTCTACACTTCGTGCATTATCTATATAGATCTGTGCTTCCTGGCTTTATATTTCTTCAACACATGGTAATTTGCTGCTTTGACTCGTTATCTATGTGTGCCCTTCACATTCTGAACCATGGAACCAGCAAATCTCAAGACTGATCCCGGAGGGAAATTCCAGCAGGGTTCCTCCCCATGGGCCCTCCAATCTCTGCAGGCTCTAGGATGCCCTCTGCAGGTCAGAAAGAGATATCTCTGGCATGCCAAGTCAATGGGCCAAGTCTAGACAGGTTGAACCTACTTTGGAATTTAAAATCGCTGAACAGGGACCAGCAAGTAGTGTAGTGGTTAAGGTGCTGGACTCCCATATGACCAACCACGGTTGCAGCCCTGGACCCAGGGGTTTGAAAATCATGGTTGGTGTGTGGGCATACATGCCCAAAATCCTAGTAGGAAAATGGAGAAAAAGGGAGTGAGGCATGGCCATCCCCTCTAGGGGGTGGTTTCTTACTTTCCCTTTCTCCATTTCTGTCTCTCCCTCACTGATGATGGGGGGAGGACACACATTTGCCCTATGACTAAGAAATTTTTTTAATAATTAAAAAAAATTAAATTGCCCAACAGCTCTGTGGTTCTCTCAGCCCTCTAAAGGATCTCTCAGTCCTATAAAGGACAGAAAAGCTTTTACCTGCAGCCACATGTTGGGTGGCACCTCCATCTAAACCAGGGCCACAATGAGGCTGGGCTCTCGCCTCTCCTATAATGAATGTAAGGTGTGAAGTATCCTGTGTTTGGTTTGACAGGGGAATCTGGTTAATAGCTGTACAGCTTTCACAAGTTATTTAAATATTCTGGGTCTGTGTCTTTTTTTCCCCATAAATGGACATCATAATCATCTATTTTATGGCATGCTATGAGGTTTAACTGAAGAATGTACATGAAAACACAATCTTGAACTGACACCCAGTAGGCATCAGGGAGCTAGCTGGTGGTGCTATTAATATTACTGCCACTCATCTAAAAATGCAACCGCTTCTAACCATAAACCAGACAGCTTGGTTTTGCCACCCAAACAGCAAATGTTTTCATTTTAATTTTCAGAACATTTGGGTGATACCCTGGACACAGAATCTAGGGAAATGGCACATTTATATGGATAGCCTCCCTTAATGAGCTATTAGCTGCAGAAATTATCCCAAATGGCAAGGTAAATTACCCTGTGTTGGAAAACAGGGTGAGTATTTCACCGGCAACAGTCTTACATGAGGATTGATACATAAATGTTGGACGTACAGATAACTGTTGGGACCTGTTCTCATCAGTGCCGAGAGGGCTTCTGTCTAAGGAAGCCCTTGTATAGCGAATACCAAAGGAATCAGTAAGCACTGGCCACACTGATCTTGGAGGGATTACCTTTGCACTGAAAAAGAGAGGTCGTGTTAAAGGGGCGCGAGCAACAGCGCTCTTCACCTCCGACAACCACAGCGCGCCTCTTCTTCAAAGTGGGGGGCCACAGAACTACAGCTGTTCCACCCCTTCCTGGAAGGTGCAAAGTCGCCCTGCGGGCGCTCGCCTCTTACCACGAACTCCTCCAAAGTCTGGTAGGTCTTGCCCCGGAACTCGCAGTAGTTCTTCCTCTCCTTGCATTGCGGGCAGCACTGGCTCGTGTCGACGTGGATGCAGCGCGGGTGCAGCCGCGGGCACTCTGGCTGAGCGCACAGCGGCCCCTCCTCTGTGCACAGGCACGGGCAAGCCGAGGGGCCCGGCGCGAACTTCTCCCCGATCGCGTATACGAAGCCGCTCTCGTCCACACAGCCCTTGCCGCGGTAGTCCGGGTACGCGTACTCCTCCGGAGGCTCCGGCGTGGGTGCGAGTTCCGGGCTGGTAGCGTCCTGGGCTGCGGCGGGCGGCTGCGGGGTGTCCCCGCGGGGCCGGACCTGCAGGTCCCCGGCCTTGGCGCCCCCAACCTGGGCGCCCCAGGCCTGCTTCTGCTTGCTCCACGCATCCCGGCCAGACAGCCCTCGGCCGCTCTTGCTCTTCCAGTCCCGGCCGCTGCTGCCCTCGTCCCTCGCTGGGCGCCCGAGCTCGCTCACCCGCCCCGGGCTGTCCCGAGACGCGTGCTCGCGCTTCTCCTGGCCTGGCTGCTCCGGCGCCTGGGCCAGCTTCTCCAGCGGGATGCTCGGACTGCACAGAGCCACCATCAGGCAGCAGGTGACCAGGAGGGAACTGGAGAGCCCGCCAACTGCCATCGCAGTGGAGCTGGGCATCCCCTACCACGTCCCG